GGGTTAAGTTCTCTGAGATTTGTGATCGCCAGTAGGTGGATTCAGAGCTTTTGTGCGCGAAGGGTTGTTTTCAGCTCCCAGATTTAAACCCMTAGATGCTGTTTTTATTTTGGGTTTTATTCCCATTTTATTTACTTTCCTTACATCYTCAACAGGCRTTAATTACAAAGTGGCTCGTGGGACTTCGCTGCCTGCTGTTGGATAGCAACAGAAAGGACGGGCGCGCGCATTCATGGGACGCGACTTTGACAGCTCCTCGCCTCCCGTCTTGTAACTTTGTCACTGGTCAAGCAGGGACCCAGGTTGCGTCTGGAGATCATCCATCCATCCATCATCGTCACCATGGCCGAGGCTTCGCTCCCAGGCAAACTCCCGGACCTGGATGTGGCCATCGACCCGGACTTTGAGCCCCAGAAGCGGCCCAGGTCCTGCACCTGGCCGCTGCCGCGACCGGATTCGAGCGCGGTGAAACCGGACAGCAACGACATCATCCCGGAGGAAGAGGATGACGAGGAGGACGCCGCGACCCCCGTCCGTGTCCGTGGCTCCGGAGCGGACCAGAGCGGCAGCCCCGTCACCGAAGGATCGTTCCCCTCCCCCGGCCAGGACAGCGGAGGCTCCCCGCACTCCGCGCACTCCCCTCCGGCCRCCTCGGGCGCGCTGACTCCCGGCAGCCTGGCCGCCGCGCAGACCCCGAGGAAAGCGTCGTCCCGCCGCAACGCCTGGGGGAATCTCTCCTACGCCGACCTGATCACCAAAGCCATCGAGAGCTCGCCGGAAAAGAGGCTGACCCTGTCCCAGATCTACGACTGGATGGTCCGAACCATCCCTTACTTCAAGGACAAAGGCGACAGCAACAGCTCTGCAGGATGGAAGGTAAGAGCCGCTCCACGCAGCAGCAGCACCCACCCGCTAGGGCCCCCCTCCTTCCTCCATCAAAACAAAAACAAAAAGCATGTGGCTTGCAGAAACAGTCACGCTCACACAACTATGCCTCCTCTGATTTACGAGCTTGCGTTTGTGAAATATGGCGCACATTATGCCTCATTATCATTAATTCAAATTACAGTGCAATAATCAAAAACTGCACCAGGTTGATATTTAAAACAATATGAGCTGGAATATTCCATGCATTCATCTTCAGAGATTTGCAAACTGCTCAGGTGATCTGAGTCAGAATCTTTTTKTTTTTATTGCAGTCTTTTCATAGACGTTGATGATGCATGCCATGGCTTCAGGGCTCAAAGTGGAGCAAAACAAACCGAACCGGTTCGTCTGGAAGCGAGGTGGCCTATTTTAAGTGTTGCAAACCTGTTTTAAAGCTGTGCTACAGTTACATAAGACAGCTACTGAGCAGCAGCTCCACTATTAATGGACTGACTGTAAACAAAATGATTTTACAGAGAAGCTGTGTGAAAGAATGTGAACTCTGGGAAGCCCCCCCCCCCCCCCCCCCTGTATTTGTGTATTTGTAAACTATGAAACACAAGCTTGTCTGCATTTTTGTGTTTCTGTGAGACTATAATGAAATTACGACTTGGAGAATACAAGGTAAATTTCCAATTCACTGATAAGGACAAAGCTTTGGCCTCTTTCCCATTTGTTATGCAAACCTTGGCAGGAAGTTATCAATCCCTTTATAGGTCAGGTAGGCAACTACCAAGGTTGCTGATCCTGGCATGGTGGGTGGGGGGGATTACATAACTACTGGGTGGCCCTGAGTTTGAGCAAACCTTCTTTTTTAAAGCCATTGATCTGGTCAACAACACATGGGAGCATCGAAAAAGAGCAGGCGGTTGGCACAAAAGGTCAAAGAGCGGAGATTAACACCCGTTCGAAGATGAAATCTTAGTCCCATGGGGTGTCGGGCAATATTTTGTCAGGCCTTCTCGAGTTTAGGTATGTGATACGCTTCAGTGAAGTGCAGAGAAGGCCTCGTGTGTCAAGGCCGAGTTCACTGTCACCATGACGGCTTATTACTCCAGGAATTTTGGGCATGTTGGTGGTTTAGTGTTACTCCTGTCCTGGTCTGAAAATCGGAGGTGGAGCTCACAACCTGTGCCCTCTAGGAAGACTTTCCGCTCAGGACCGGTTTTCTCTAATCACAAAGCTTTCTGCCGAAGTTTCAATCCTGATCTTTCAAGATGATACGTTAAATCAGCAGTTCAGATGTCTTGAAGTGGCCTTTTGTGGAAAGTTTGTGACCAATTTACGTCTTAGCTGTTGTAGGTAGCTCTTTGTGTGGCCACAGATTGGAGGAATACACTGCACATCCTCATAAGCCTCACTCTAAAAGATTTGAATATCTTTTTAAGTCTGTATTTCACAAGTTTAGGTTGTAGCAACAAAACCTCACCAAAGCAAATAAACGGACCACAAAGCCATAATTTTACCATGCAGAGTCTGCAAGGGGACTATTCCAGAGCCTGACTTGGGCTCTCTTTCTCTGGTTAGAGATGTAAAGTTTGAACACCTCAGTTTCATGTTGAACAGATTTGCTAAGCAAATAATCCCCACGGGTTTCTCTAGAAGGATCTTGATGATGTTGTTCTTCATATTAGTCATCAGCCCAGGTAGAAGTGTGTTAAGATGACCAACTGTAACTGTTTTATCACCTTAGTTTGTCTAGAAGCAAGGAAAGGATATGCTGAGAATAGAAATAAACATCCTTGTTCTTACAGGCTTAAAAGTGCCATCTGTCATGGCTTCTATAGTTGGAATGTTTCTTGTAATTAGATTTATACCTCATGTGTTTTACTTTTTCTTTCTTCTTTTCAAATTGTTCTTGTATGACTTTGCCTTTAGGAAGCTCTGATGTCAGGTGATTCAGGTATTTTATCTCCACTTTTAGGGGGAAAAAGATGCACTTCAAACCATATAGTGTCACTAGCTGCGTTTCCATTGACCATGAAAATGCGCAAATTAGAATTTCGAAAATAAATTAGCTCAATGGAAACGTCAATTTCGGAAAAAAAAATACGTTTTTCGACAAAATGTTTTTGCGCTAGGATGAGGTGGTATTTCGGCCGTATCAAAATTGGTGTTTTTCGCAAAACTGCAATGGAAACACTTTTTTCGCATCACGGGCGTCACGTGATCAACAACCGGCTGTTTCTACCAGTGAAAAAGATGATGACGAAGAAGATAGCAGGAAGCAGAAGTAGTAGTAATACCACAGAAGTAGGATAAAATAGTAAACTCACCGACTACAATTTCCCAAAAACACAGCATACGTAGCCGCTCCCAAGTAGGGGCTCGTCGCTGGAAAGCCTCRATAAAAGACGCCGACGTCTCCTCTGATGATGAGCGCTAGTGTCATGGTAGCAACATGCTATGGGTTTACATCCATTGCTGCCATGTTTGTGATGACTTATGCGAGAACAAACGTATTCACACGTGACTTTAACAGCATTTCTTACTTAATGGAAACACCGCAGTTGCAAAACTGTTTTTTCAACATTAACAGAATATCGACAAAGTTTTGCACACATTTGCARTGGAAACGCAGCTACTGGAGCTAATGAGCTACGGACCGAAACAAGTTCCTCCAGCATTTACGATGAGAGGATTCCTGATTCCCCTCCGTAACGGGGAGGCTGTTACGACTKGAAAATTCACAGAACCCTTAGCGTGTCTGAATAAAGGAGGATTAAGGTGCACCTGTTTGTGTGTAGTGGAGTGTTTGTCTTGAACTTTGTACTGTAGTGTTATTCAATCCTGCTGTAATACACTCTTCGTAGCCACCCCTTGCAAGCTAAGAAGTAGTTCTGTTACTTTTGAGGTAAAGAGATTTCAGCAGCTGCTCAGAACAGAGGAGGCACACATACTGTAGCACAGTTCTCCAAACCTGCCTTACAGTATGCATTCCCTCACAGACATGCTCGGACATATTCCTTACAGAGCGTTTGTCTGGTCATGTTCAGGCTTATCACAGAGGACCGTAAAACTCTGGTTCTAAAATTAGTCCTCCTAACTAGAATCCCTCCATTAGGTTACATAAATCTTTACCTCGCCTTACACTGCAACAAGTATGGTGATCGTCAGGTTCTTTTAGTTGAACTGTTTATTAGCTGGTGCTGTTCTTAAATGAAGTGAAAAACAGGTTCATGCGTGGAACAACTGCAGCCGATTATTAAAAACTGCCAACCTACTCTTTGGCGCTTTTGCCCCCTTCTGATTGTTTCTGGGGGCGTATCGGAAAAGCAACCCTTCATAATTATTCACGATCAACATGTACTGTGCTAAAAATGTTGATGTTTATATGCAATGTGAAAAATCATTATTAACAGAGAACAAATACAAAAAAGATGTAGTGAAGCTCTGAAAAGCTCTGTCTGTATGAAGTGACGACTGCCAAGGCAAATCCTACAATGTTGAAGAAAATTGCAACAAAAAAAAAAAGATTAGCTGGGGGAGAAAGGTGGGAGGTAGAGGGTCTGAGCGAGTTTGCAGGAGTGTGTGTGCAGTAAATGCAATCAGAAACCAGATAGATCTGGCACCGTGCCACCGTGGAGTAACTGAACCAAAAAGGCAATAAAAATGGGAGTGGAAGGAGAACGGGGGTGGAGGGGGCAGAAAGAGGGAGGAGAATGGAATGGAGGGTAGTAAATTAAGAAGCTTTGCTCTAAATTGGTGTATTACATCCCCCCTCTGGCTGTGATTCCCAGTGGAGGAGTTTTCAGGCCAAAGGGGTGATGAGTGATGCGAACCCACCTGCTCCAGGCAGAGGAAACTTCAAGGTCCTGTTCTACTTCCATTTCCAATCAAAKATTTTTTTTTCTTTGATGGAGTTGAGCTTTGTTCTGTTTAGATTTCCATTTAAAAATTGCCCTAGTGGTTCCAAACACAAAAGGCTCTTAAACAGTTTTTGCTGCTTATCTTGAAAAGCATAGACAAATATGCTGTTTTCTGTTTCTGTTTTCTAAATTTGGTTAACTGCAGAATAAATGAAGGATCGACTTAGGCCTATGTCAATGTTTTTATGTGATGCTTAAAAAGAACATCGACACAGTTTCTAGAAATGTCTGTCGCCACTCAAAACCATCGACWGCTGCAGTAACTATACCAGACCTGTATGTGGTGCTGTATTGCTGCCMGGGACAAAAGCAGGACACAAGGCGTAAAGCATGTGCATAAAGCCGAATGCTAATTGTTAACAGAAAAGAAGAGGATGCCCTCAGGTGGCTTAGATTATAAGTGGGGCTATGACATCATCATTTTGTACTTAGATGACCAAAGATAGCCCAGAAAACTGAAATATTTAGAAATTTGAGTCATAAATGGGATCATGAAATGGAACTAAAACCTGCGCTTCCCACAAGATCTTGGTGGTGACAGCTGGTTTATGGTTCTTTAGAAAGATGTTGGCTGAACTTGCGGTCAGGGCTCCGATTCTTTCACTCATCAGCTTTATGGATCCGTTACAAAAAGTCTGAAAACTATGTCAAGGGTATAACAACAGAACTTCAGTAGAAGTTATTAATAAAACAGCTTCACATTCAGTTGTAACTGTAGACTGTCACTGTTGTCATTTTCATCAGTTTCCAGATTTCCTAAAAGCTCCAAGTTAGCAATAACATGACTAATATGAGTATTAATAATGTGTTTATGTAAGCTGTTTACTGACAGTTGATTTCAGCTCCACAGAGGAAAAAAACATAAATTTGATCATTTCTTACCAACCAGTGTGTTTGTGGATATATTTAATTTGAATATGTGAAGATAACATACAAGCAAGCACTTTTTCAGGTATCCTATTGTTTTTGTTAAAATCATAAATTTTGCAGATTTTTTGAATTTTATTTCTCTCCCGCCACCTACATCACTTTTTGTACGATCTGTTCTCCTGAAAGATGCTTCTCAATTATTCAGTGCTC